TGGGAATTGACAGAATACCAGTGGAGAAGTTGCAGCAAATGGATGCAACACTGAGCAAATGAATGCTCACTAATCTATGCCAAGAAATTTGGAAGACTGCTAATTGATCAATTAACTGTAAGATACCCATATTTGTGCCCATTCCCAAGAAAGGTGATGTAACAGATTGCAGAAATTATCAGATAATATCACTAATATCACGTACAAGAAAAACATCATAGACAATGTAAAAATGGATTCAATGGCATATCAACAGGGAGCTTCCAGAAATTTCAGCTGGAATCAGACGAGGACATGACATGAGAGATATCACTGTTGATTTCAGATGGATCTTGGCTGAAAACAGAGAATACCAGAAAGGTGCTTATTTGTAGTTTGTTGACTACGCAAAAATATTTGACTGTGTGGAGAAAACAAATTTGGGGTAACATGGCAAAGAATGGGAACTCAAGAACACTTAATTGTGCTCCTGCGGAACCTGTACAATTAAGGTTTAGACAAAAACCAAACATAGACCATGAAGCAGTCTTTCAAACAGCACAAGGGGATACTGTATAGTTTGAAATCAGGAAAGGTGTGTGTCAGAACTGCATCTTTTCACTATATTTATTCAATCTGCATATTGAGCAAATCAGCTGATAAGCTAAAGTAAAAGTATGGTGTGTATCAATTTGACTGGGCCAGGATCTTCAGTAGTTTGGCAGTTAAGATGTAGTATAACCTTCCATGATTCAATCTACTATAGTGTAATCAACTCCATGATAAGATCTGCTATGCGCAGTGAATCAACTGAAGAGTTGTTTTCTCACAAGTATGGCCTGCTTCCAGTATTTTACACACTCAGGTAAGCTTGCTCTTTTTGCTGGGCCTGGATCCTGCATTTGACTTGTCATCCAACCTCCCATTCTTTGGACTGCTCCATTGTGTGTTGACTCTGGAGACACCAGCAGCCTGCCATCTTAATTGCCCGACCTGCCTGCCCCATTAGCCCTGTCAGGATTATGTTCATCAGTACTGAATCTATGTGAATCAGAAGCCTCCGGCCTGACACCTGACCCACAAACTTGAGATACTCTCCCTTACACTGTGTGAGCCTTTTCCTTTACATAAATCTCTCTCTATATATACACATATAAGCGTCACTGGTTTTGCTTCTCTTGAGAACCCTGCCTAAGACAACAATGGGCTTCAAAAAGTTCATGGAAAATTCTATTATCTTTTATTCCCTTTTTCCAAGAACTTTCAAGCCCCCTTTGTTATTTTAGGCTGGGTTTTCATACATGAAGAAGAATGTGGCATCAGGATTGGAGGAAGGCTCATAACAACTTGCAATATGGAGA